AATATATCGAGTTTTATATACAAGTTTAAGCCATTATAAATCAATAAAAAATAAATTATAATATTAAATCGAGTATTTATATATGAGTTTAAATCGTTATAAATCAATAAAGAATAAGCTTAACAAGATATCTTTATACACTATGTATGTGATTATCATACAGAACATCATACACGCAGGGAAACAACTATCCCAACAAAATGGGATCATGCTTCTTAATTTCTATGCCGGCTTGCAAGGTCTCCTGCAAGTAGCAGCAGCTAGCATGAAGGAATTCGAGAGAGCTAGGTAGGTTTTTTTTTTTTTTTTTTTCCCGGGGAGATTAATTGGAAAGGTCACGTGAATAACTATGATGATAAACTTCGTTCTAATCAAGTAATCATCACGAGGAATTCAATCACGGATAGTTTAATGGACACCATCCAATCTACTATACATATAAAAGAAACATATTTGGAGCTCAAATTATATAAACTTGAGTTGAATAATGCTCAAATATATATAATTTTCTGGCAATCACAACCAGAAAATATTTATTTGTTTAGCATTGTAATGGTGTTTGTGATGGTAATTTTTTAAAAATAATTTTTAAAATAATATGTTTAATTAAAACTGTAAACTATTAAATTAAAGTGTTTATTTTACAACAATTCTTAACAACTCACCCTCTATTCTCTTGCTTTAAGTGGATTTAGTATATGAATTTTTTATCTTTTCATGTTCAAGAAAACAAAAATTTAAACAAAAATTTTTAGATTAGACGGAGCAAATTTCATCCATATTTTTTTCAAGATTTAAACTTGGAATATAGCACAAATATCTGAAATGAATTTTTAATGAAAAATAAATAAAAAATATATTATTTTAGTTTCTATAAAACCAAAATTTAAAATACATGTGTGATAAACAAAAATTTTTAGATTTGACGGAGGAATTCCATCTATATTTTTTTTCAAGACTCAAACTTGAAATATAGCACAGATATCTGAAATGAATTTTTAATGCAAAATAAATAAATAAAATATTATTTTAGTTTCTATAAAACCAAAATTTAAAATACATGAATGATATAATGCAAAAAAATAATAATTATATAATCGAATTATTGTTTTACGGGCTGGATAAAAATTATAAGCATCAAACAATTTGAAGCGCTAGTTTAAGCTGGCCTAAACAAACGGTGATACACATTTGGTTTGGGCCTCCGTTTGCTTAATTAGTTTAAGCAGGCCTGTATATCCAATTAAATTCTTATGGATCGTGAAGCCTATTAGGCCGATTTTGCAATCTAGTGAAATTTCAACCGCACCTCGCAAAGGTTCCACTTCCTGAAAAAAAAAATCTTAAAATATAAACTCTTGAACAAAGAGGCAAATATGTCACATCTCCTTGTTCGAGAAAATAAATTTAAATGTCTCCCAAAATTAATATATAGCTTTTTAATTATATCATACTCAAATGAGACTTGTCTGCATCAACTTCAAAGACTTTGTTTTATAATTTTTATCCAGTGTAGTTTTGTTTTTTTAAGGTGGAACGACATCATTTTACAATAGATCGGGTCTTATGAACCTGATATTGAGCCGAGTCAAATCCTAAGCCGGTCTGATATTTATAATCCAAGTCGGTTCAAATCTGTCTCTCTTCCCTATTGTCCATTGGCGTCACTTGATTAAGTTTTAAACCATTTTCTACTCAAGATATACTGAACGTACGAGTAGAAACAGAGAAAGCAATTGGTAGAGCAATACTTAAAGATCCTTCTATTCTTCTCTTGGATGAAGTTACAAGTGCATTGGATACAAAATCTGAAAAGTTTGTCCAAGAGGGTTTTAGATAAGCTTATGGGAGGCGGAGCAGAGTTCTGGTCGCACACAGGTTATCAACTGTTCGCGATGCTGACAGTATTGCAGTTCTGCAAGCAACATGGGAGGGTGGTCGAAATCGGAAGCCATAACCAGCTCATCGGAAAACCTGGTGGTATTTATAAACAACTAGTCAGTTTATAACAGGAAAAGGACACATAATGATAAGTAACAGGCACTTTTACAAGGAATCTAATAATAATAAAAAAAAGCCTACCCATAACTTAACCTAACCAAGCTGAAAGTGTGCGCAGTCGTTTTGAATCAGTTGACAGTTGCTTAAGCCTCATTTTATCACCAGTTTTCATCCACATCCTAAAACATAAGCTGGGGCTAAAACCAGCCTGAAACTTAGGAATTTCAGCTGGATTTCACCAGTTTGGTTTTCTGAGCGATTGCCTGTCCAGATTCAGGCTTGAAAAAGTTCTTAAACCGAATCCTAGTCATATACTAGCTCTCTCTTTCTTGTTTCGAGCAACCCTGTACACTTGCTCCAATCTTTGATTTTTTCCCCCTGGTTCAAGTTCCTTTTACTTTCAAGGACATAAAGTAATCAACTTATGGAATCTCGCCAGCAATATAATATGCAAAAGAAACTAGAATTAAAGTAGATATATTAGCTACAAGAAAGTTGTTGGAGGGGTTGGTACTCGGTAGGTCACGATCCAACAAGCTCGAATCTGCTAATAGAATTCTCCCCATGTGCTTTGCAGATTATGGGTAAATTATACTTGATTACGCAATTAGTGGAGCGGGATTGCTTTCTTTCGAGGATAAATCAAATCACCAAAAATTCTTGACATGATGCCATGATCTATGAAACTCCAACAACATTTTCTTTTCTTTCTTTGCCAGAAGGAAAAAACAAGAAGAACTTGTGGGCATCCATAATTGTGATTGTTAATTTATTATTGACGTGGAATAAAAGATGATGTTCGTACAAAGACTATTGGGGCTGGATTCGACCTGGCCACGCCCTTTTTGATTCCTTAACGCTACCCATTTGATGGAACAAAAATGCCAGACACGTTGATTGACATTCCATGCCACTCCATATCCTTGTCTTTGTTTCTGTCCGAATTTTCCTCGTTTGGTTGAAACTCAGGAGACAAAAAAAAATAGCTGAAAGCACAGCTCATTTGACCCGACTCGAGAAGGCAAAGATGATGTGTACTAGTTTAATCGGGTCCTTGGCGATGTTATTAATGATACGTTTGGAAGTAGAGTAGAGATTATTATTTAAAGTTTTTTAATTTAGAAATATATTTAAATAATATTATTTTATTTTTTAAAAATTATTTTGGATACCAACACACCAATATAATTTAAAAACATTAAAAATTTAATTTTAAATAAAAATTTTTTAATTTTAATAAAACACGATTTAAATCATGTTCCAAATGAGATTTTCTTAGCTAAGAGATTAAGGTAAGCATGAGTTCAATCCTTTTCTCATCGGGCCAGGATCGATAGCCGTTCGACTTGAGAAAAGTGCGGTCAATGGTTGTGTGTGGTGCCTTTCTTTCCTTCTTGCTTGAGTTAAGCTTACTCATGTAATTTCATGTTTCTTGGTTCGCTTTCTGCCTTAAGTTTTAATTAATTCACTAACTTGTAAATTAAATTTTAAATCAAGTTTAATAGTTTTGGTTGTAAAATGAATGGTGCTGTAGACGGAGAGATACCATTAAGTTTATTTTTCCAATCCCGTCAGAAAGCATACCGTCTTTATGAATACTGCTAGCTAGGAGAATCATATAATCTTCACACTTATTGCATTATTTGCACTAGTGGTTTTATCGTATTGATCATGCACTGGTGGTTACAGCCAGTCATTTGATTGGAGTTTGTCGAGTCAAACAGCCTGCAAAATGAAGGGCCATGCCACCTAAACCACATTATAGCACAGGCATCATCTTGTCTAGTTGCATCCCTTCGAAGGCAAGAAATTTTTATGGGGAGAGCTCTCATTTAGGTCCTAGCCAAATAGCGAGCTCTTTACTGTTATGGATAATGGGTTAAAAATATTAATTTAATATATTTTTAAATATAAAATACTTTATATTTTAATACTAAACACATAAAAATCCCTTTTTAGAGTTTTGAACTTGAAACTTTCTATTAGAAACAATTCAACCATTGATCAAGCCTCGAGGCTTAAGTGGCATGGTTTATTTTGTTAACGGCAGAATTGATTTTTGATGAATTATTAACCTAATTGTTCATTAGCTACTTGGTGCTTGAGGGGGTGCTTTCTCCGAGAGATCGATCTACCATTATCAGCACCTTGAATGCTCCCATCACTGCTATTTATTGCCGTCACAGCTCTGCCCGTCCCCACCGTTAATGAGACGTTAATCATACATGTGTCGGTTTCACCACGCTTAAAAATTTAAATTCAGAATTCAAATCACGTTAGAAGCAAATCTGGTCATTTTCACATAGCCTATCGCTCCCATATATTCAAATATGTGTGTGCGTGTGTGTATATATATATATATATTAACTTTAAAAAAACCTTCATCATTAAGTTATCAATTTAACTTGTAGATCACTAATCAATCATTTTATTTTTTTATTTTTTTCATACATAAATAGATTTACACACACAAATTAAACTGCAATTTAAAAAAAATGGAAGTATTTTATTTTTCTTTTCATATACAAAAATTATTTAAAAATAACTGTAAAAAAATAAAGAATTCCAAAATATTAAATAATAGTATCTTGTGCAGTGTTTATTTACTATCTCAAGATATAATAAATAAAAATAATAAAAACAAAAATACGTTTCATTCAAGAGATAGAGGCTTACAAAAAAAACATATAAAAATTTGTTTTTAGAATAATTTTTAGTGAATTTTTATATTTTCAAAATATAAAATAATAAAGGAACGTGGCCCTCCGTTTTAATTGTTTCTATTTATTTTATAATAAGATAATAATCAAATATTACTTTTTTATATATAAAAACTGTTACAAAAATAAATAAATTCAAAAAAAGTTTAATAATAATAGATGGAAAAAAAAAAACCATTAATGATATTTTAACTGAAAAGATTTGCTATTAACTTTAGGCGATTAGAAAAGGAGGAGTGGTTAGACTTTTGGATATGGATTAGCTGGCAAAAGGTTGTCTAGGTAAGCCAATCCCAACACATACGCTTCTACCGCAAAAACATTGTCCCTTGTCCTCTTCCCTCTTCGTTGCCTATCTTCCTCACTCTCTCTTCTCGCATTGAAAAATTAGGGTTACTTAGCTCTCCAATTTTTTCTTCACTCCTCAAATTAGGGTTCTTTATCGAGTCTTTGTGTCCGATTATTTCAATTCTTGAACTGGTAATGAACAACCATAACTCTAGGTCTCTATCATCGGCTTCAATTTCTGATCAGAGAAAAGAGAGGCAAAGGAGAAATCGAAGGCATTGAATAAGTAGTAGTTGTTGTGGTGAGAAGTGAAGAGATCGGACGGTTGAAATGAGCGCGTCCAGGTTCATTAAGTGCGTGACTGTTGGCGACGGCGCCGTTGGCAAAACATGTATGCTTATTTCCTACACCAGCAATACTTTCCCTACGGTACTCTCGCTTTCTCTCTCCCCGTGTGTCCTCTATCGTAACTTTGTACATTGTCTATGGACGTTTTCGTAATTTCGGTCTTTTTTGGGAGATCTTTTTATCTTGCTTGATCGTAGAATTTAGTTTGAAGCATCATTCTCTGAGATTATCTTGTTTTGATTTGTGAAAATACTTTTTAGCAATTTTAAGGAATTTATCTTTTTTTTTGTTTTCCAGTTTTTAGTGTTCTTTTATCTGGTATAGAGCTGAGGCTACAAAGTTAGATTTGAACTTGAAATTTAGGGCTTCTGTTGTATATTTTTCATGATAAATGCGTTGATTGTGTTTATAAGATTTAGTCATTTTGGTTATCTAGATTGGTAATTATTCATTGCTTTCGAAGAATGCCTGGGCAGATTTCAATGTACATTGATGTTGTTGGTGATTTTTTAGAAATGATTTGAGTTTAAAATAGTCTAGAGGTCTATATGGTGTGTATTGTAGTGTGTTTTTAGCTTTTCGTTAAATAATGTCCGGGGACACACAGCCAGTTATTAATGTTGTAATTATCTGGTTTTTGGCTGTTGTGATGCGAAACAGGACTATGTACCAACTGTTTTTGACAACTTCAGTGCAAATGTGGTTGTGGATGGAAACACTGTCAACTTAGGATTATGGGATACAGCTGGTAATTTTTCTTTACAAGATCTTGCGCTGAGTTGGGTGCTTTCTTGCGCTGAGTTTAAAGAATTTCATTGAACAGGTCAAGAGGATTACAATAGATTAAGACCTTTGAGTTATCGTGGGGCAGACGTCTTTATTCTCGCATTCTCTTTAATCAGCAAGGCCAGCTATGAAAACGTTGCCAAAAAGGTTATGGATCGTCTATGAAAAATTGTTTGATTAATTTCCTTGTACTGATAATTTTCTTTTTGCTGGTTTTCCATTTCAGTGGATTCCAGAACTGAGGCATTATGCTCCCGGGGTTCCAATTATTCTTGTTGGAACAAAACTTGGTAATACTATCTCTATCACCACATTTTAATTGCGAAATGGAATATCTGAATTGCCTTGCTAGCTGGTTGGATTTTCTAGGCTAAGGTACTGTTATAGGACTTCTGCATCATATTAAACCAACTAATCACTGTCCCTTTGTGCAACATACCAGTTCAACTTGGCTTTGATCTTGGCCCAGTCTTAACCTTGATCAGTAATCATCAACCGTGTCCTAGCTTATATTACAATCAATAACTGTACAACACATACCTGATATTCCTTTTTGCACTTTTTTTTTTTTCATTTTGGCATGTATTTAGAAAATTTGATATGTACTTACTTATTTAATGCTTTTTGAGAATGTTAGGTTGCAATGATTCTAGGATCAATGCATTGATTGCGCAACTGTTTTGGGAGCTCAATGTTTTTTAGGTTTTAGTACTCTATTCTCATCCGAACTGTTTGCATCCATTTTCTATATCACCTTTTATCAAGATGCAAAACGACTCTGTATTGGCTGAGTTTGCCAACTAGAGTTAGCAGCTGTTCTTTCTTTGCTTCCATTATGCAAAATTTCATCAAGTACTGTTTTTTGTACTGGTTCTTGATTATGTTATGCACAATTGTCAAAAATGAGAAACAATCCCCTTTTCCAATAAAGGACTGAAATTTGGGAGACGCATCCCATTATCAACCGGGGACTAAAATTTGTTTCAAACTAATGTTTTTCAAAGCGAAACTTCTCTTATGATTATAATCATTTTCCATCTGCAGATCTTCGAGAAGACAAGCAGTTCTTTGTTGACCATCCTGGTGCAGTGCCAATTACTACTGCTCAGGTAAATATGACCATCCTCAAGTGTCTCCCCTTCCCCCAACACACCACGCACCAAAACTTTCTTTGTATAGGTTCCTTTTAATTAATTTCTTGTCTTGGCTTTGCCTTTGTTGAAGGGAGAGGAACTGAAAAAACTTATTGGAGCTCCTTTCTACATTGAATGTAGTTCGAAAACACAGCAGGTATACACATCCTCTTATCCTCTTTTTTTTTATTTGTTCTCCTTGGGCACTGTGTTATGCCATTGCCATTGATGGGATTTGTTTTGTAATTTCAGAATGTGAAGGGGGTTTTTGATGCGGCCATAAAGGTGGTGCTGCAGCCTCCAAAGCAAAAGAAGAAGAAGAAAAAGGGGCAAAAGGCTTGCTCCATATTGTAATTGACAAAGGCATGATTAGGTTTGACAGAATAGAAGATGGCCTGCCTGCCACGCACTGCAGTCAGTCATTGCTGTGTCACCTCTTTCCATTCTTTGGCCCCCTCAAGGAAGCAGGAAGTCTTGTATAGTCTCGACTGACATTCTGGGGATTTCCATGAAAACACCTGATTGATTGTTTCGTGTTTTCCTCAATCTCGTGGTCTGTAATTGAATTGCATTCCTTGTCCAAAGTGCTTTTTATTTTGGTTTAAATTCGGCTTGTAATATCTTAATTTGTCTCTCGAATTAACTTTCTGGCATGAGATGATGTGATTAATCTATGTAGCTGACCTCCTATAGGAGGCTCGCAGGATCTCTGGCCACTTGCTTCGTATCCTATTCTGCAGTAGATTTGTACGACAATATGATTGTTGTTTTGTATTCAGTTTAAGCTATAATGTATTGCTCGCTTTTGGATTCCATGCTGTTTACATCTTGTACTGGGACTGAATTAAACGCTGGAGTTTCTGATCCTGAATCTAGTTCAACAAATGGCCATGACCGGTCATGATTCATGGCAATTGTCTGCAACAAATGGCCATGACCATGACCGGTCATGATTCATGGCAATTGTTATGGAATCGTCTAAATATTATTATTTCATCGGAAGGTATTTTATTCCAGCGTGCAGATACTATAGGAGCATAGTAGGAGCCATTCCCGTTAACATGGAGCGTGTAATTTCGAGTTCCCTTTCCTTTTAAGCTTTAAATGCGTGACATGTAAAACAACCACCCTGCCTCTTTCATAAGCATGCTGCCTTGGGACAAAATTCGTGTGTGCAAGTTAGAATGTCTCCCTCGGAAGGCATATGACAGAGCAAACGTGACTCGCAATAACGTTAGTTTTTTAGCCACCCTATACCTTTCCTATGTATAGCATGCATGCAATGAAATATTTCAGTCACTTGAGCCGAATAATAGGCACTTGTACAGATGAAACGTACCCGGACCCAAAAAAAAGGCACTTGGGCACCACGACGCCTTGACCAATAATTATTTGAAACATTTCCCCCAAGAAGAATCCACCACAGATAATAATTACAGAAATTCGGATTTTTTTTCTTTCAAGAACACAAAACCAACACTCCTGGACGACTCCTCCCGTCGAATCCCAAACAACTCCAGGACATCTTATTTACACCTTGATAGGCCCGAATTTCTCACCCACGACACCTACCTTTTGTTTCTGGAACTGAATGTACCGGATTGTGCTGGCAAAGAAGGCTTCTGATGCTGGATCTGGTGTGGTGGAGTCACTCTGCATTTCATTAATGATTAATTCTACCAGCCCCTGGATTGCAGCACTGGTAACCTGTGGGTTTCCTTTCTCAAAAAAGTACAGGTACCTGAAGCATGTGCAGAGGGTCCATAATTACCGTATAATGCAAGACAAAATGTGACATAGGGATGAGAAATTTAAAATTACAGGTTCAAGCTGCTCACTTGTTCAATATTTCAACAAACAATGTGACCAGCCCACTTGTACCAGTTACTGCATTGGCCATCTGCTGAGCTGCATTTGCAATTCTCAAGGCACGCTTGAGGCAAAGGAGGACCCTACAATTAGAGAAGGCATCTGGAGTCATACTCTCAAGAGTTCTTCACATATATAAGAAGCTAAAACTTGTTACAACCTGGAATAATGTAGATTCAAAAGTAAGAACACCTGGCAGGGGACCAATTGATCTATGGACACAACTGTACAGTTATTCAAGTAGAATACAATGGTTTTAAGCAAAAAGGTACAGCACCTTTCCCCATCCTTGATGCAATCCTTTTCATCAACCCAAAATAGATTTGAGCAAGCGTACACTGCTCTGCACTGATCAGGCCTCTTCAAAAGCTTCGCAGAATACTGACAAAAGGCGAAAGAAAAGTCAAGGAGACAGTAAAGGTTTTGGAAAAAATCTGCATGGAAATGACACCGTAATAACAGGATAAGCAAGCACTATTACTCCTGTGGCCTTGTGTGTTAGAGTGTCCCTGTTCTCAACACCCAATACATTCATCCTCTGGAGAGCCCCAATTATTAGATGCATTGCAGTCACCTGGGCCTTTGAGTCCTGAAACAGTGTATAGATGTAACTAATAAACAAATTAATGAGGTAAATGTGACCCCCGACACTCTTTATTTCAAGAACATGCACAGACGGTCACTCTTTGTGTGTGGCTCGAGTGGAAGGAAATGGCTTGCAAGTAATTACCACAACTTCTTCTTCATATAATATGAATGCCTGTGTAAAAAATTCATAAGCAATTGGCTCAAGATCACAGTCATTGGCAGCCTGATTATGATCATAGAACAACAAAAAAGAGGTCAGAAATGCATACTTAAGCATAAGGTTGCACACAAGTGTGAGCAGAAAAGCTATCCCTTATAAGATATGGTAAAAGCAATGGCGATATTAGTAATGAAACCAAAGAGGTAGGGGGACAGTATAGCCTTTCAAACCAGAAAATGGCTCAAAGAATAAAGAAAAGCCCTTTTTTGCCGTATTTCAAATGTCATTGTGTAAGGGATACACGTGTGCATGAATTGTACACCTGTTTTTTTTTTTTTTTTTTTTTTTTTTTTTTTTTTTTTTTTTTTTTTTTTTTTTTTTTTTTTTTTTTTTGTTTTTGGACTTTGAACATAAATATTTTTTTCCTCTGATCATTTCCAGGTCTATTTTCTGAAATACCAAGTTGAGCCATGGTATACCTGAGCACATTGCAAGTACAACCTTAATCCCAGCTCAGGTGAGGGAACCGATGAAAGAGCCTCAATTGTCTGACAAAAAAGATAGCAAACTATAAGCAACAAGAAGATGAATTAAATCAAAGAAAGGAACATTAGCATATAACATTGAACAAGTGACCAGCAAGGAAGCAATGGGCTGATAAGAAAGCAAGAAAAGGAAGAGAAAAGAAATTTGAGCACGCTTTTGGCAAGGAAATTGTCCATAATGGGTAAACTCAACAGGGTGCAAAAACAACATATGCAGGGAACATGTAAAGGCATCAGTCATGGCACATCTTAACAGCAATAAAAAACTGCTGATATAAATTTACCTCATTCAGAAGCTGAAAAATTTTCTTAGGCGTTGCAGGCTCTTCTTCTCCTACTACATTTCCATCCTGAGCTTGCAACTTTCTCACCAACTGTGAACCACACAGAATTTTGATGAACAGTTCAGTTCAAGAGAATATCAAGTACTCCTGTAGACAAACATCCGCATTGTTTGTCTAGTGTTATGCAGGAACATTAAAGTCACTAAAGAAAACTCCTGTTGTAAGATCAGAGATCACAAATTTAAACCATATCCACAACTCTTAAGTCTCAGAAATCTAGAATCCTTGAGACCAATTTTTCTCCATCCAAAAGCCTGTCCTATGTGAATAGCAAAGTGCTACATAACCATAGCAGGGTTGATTGAAAAGCTTGCAATATGCAATGTCACACATTCAGATCTAAATTGATTCATTTAATTTGAAATCAGGCAAACAATCTGGCAAGCTCGCTAGAGACAAGCATACATTGACAGTGAAGAGATTAATCCTACAGCATCTGCAAATGGAAGAAACGTACCCTGAGTGCAGAGAATATGAGAGGAGGAACTGTAAAAGGTAATTGTGTTGGGCCTCCAGCCATTATATGCTTCCTCACAGTGCAGATAATCTGAATGAAAAAGACTTATTTATTAAAAAAAATCAATAAGGTGAACTTGTATGAAAGTACAGGGCCTAAACAGTATAAACCTCGAGGCTCCAAATGTTTAAATTTCAAAGCAATCAATTGTTTCTCAATTTTAATAAGACTGCATAAATATAAAGTACATTTGTCTAGGAGAAGTTCATCCAAAGGCTCCAAACATTTAAATTTCACAGCAATCAATCGGCTTCTCAATTTTAATAAGACTAAATAAATATAAGGTACATTTGTCCAGGAGAAGCTCATCCAAGCTCCTCACTTTACTAATAATATATGCGATATTATAACAATTTATAAACCTATTGAAGAAAAGTTAACATCATAATAAGCCTGCAAAGAAACCTCTAAACCAATAGCTTACCTTCAACATTTCCTCCGAATCATCATTATAAAGCACATGTATAAGGCGAGCAACAGAATTTTGTTCTTCATTGAAATCCTCCTTGTCGAGCTATTTATATTTGCAGATCAAGGGAGTGTTAGAAAGCAGGCTATCAATAGAATAGTAACCATTCACATCTTTCTAAAATGAAATTCATAATGCAAACCATGTATCTACAACATGAAATTCATACTGCAAAAACTTTCAACATGCACCTCATCTGCAGCAGTCCCATCCAAACCCTTTATCAGTCCTTTTAATAATTCAAACAACACCTCAATCTAAAATGAGAAAAACAGCGAAGGTTACCATATTTTCAAAAAATAATGTATGAGATTTGAATAAGTAGGAATACTTTACCTCGTCAGCAGTAGAAATGCACGTATTACTTTTCATAATGCTCTGAATAATAACCATTGCCATCACTTTATTTGTTACATCATCAAGACAGTCCATGACACGAGGGTAATTAGACAGCGATAAGGCAGTGACAATGTCATTGTACTTTTCTAATGGAGCACTCAGAAGTGCAACAATTTGTTTTGTTGCTCTGCCATCCTTAAGCTTTGGCTTGCCAAAGAGGAGCTTAACACATGCCCCCTGTAAATAAATTTAAAAAATATTAAAAGTTGTTCAATGGAATACATCTTTTGATATCAATTTTGAATGCTGCATGCTTGCATGGTAATTGGACCAGCTGATATCATGTTAAAAAAACATGATGAATGGGGAATATCTTATGTGCCCAAATGAGTGTATTATTCACATTTATTAAAAGAAAGCATACCAGTACTTGATCCACATAATCAAGGCGTTCAGGATGAACGTGTAGTGTGAATGTGAGGAGAGACACATACAAAGTAACGGCTTCAACAATAGGCATGTCAACCTGTGCTTCAATCACCTGCCATGGAAATCTTGCCAGTCAACTTGTGAAGGATTAATTCCAGATTAAAGACAAATAGAAATAAACACATAATTTAAAAGAGAAATATTAAAGGATTTAAGTGTTTCTGTTTAACTTCTGGGGCTGTCATCAAATTCACTCACCTCAGTCACTATGATACATTACTGTTGGTTTTTAGTCTTGCACCTTTACAAGAGGCCAACCCATGATTCTATTTCTCAAAGCACTGCTCAGGAGTCATATTAAACACCAGCAAAACACTGTTCTGTTACTTTTACTTAGGAGAAATTTACCTTTCCAATAGCACTGCTCAATTTAGCAAAAGCTTCTACTTGCAGGAACTCGAGTAAAACCTGGAAGAATAGGCATCATTAACAAAAATGCAAAAGCATGACTTATGAGGGTCAGGGTCATAAATATAACTCACATCCGGACTTGAAGCAG